CCTGCGTTGGGAAACAAGGAGAAGTTGAAGTCTGAGCTGACCACGCTCTACCGCCACAGTGAGCTTCACACTGGAAACACTGCCCTGTCTCTGTTGAAATCCATTCACGAGAACAACTTGGAGGAAACGTTTGCTGAGACTGTTATTTTGGTCAAAATAATAGTGACAACTCCGATGACGACATCCGAGTCAGAGAGGAACTTTTCCACCCTCAAAAGGATAAAGACTTTCACTCGCAACACCATGGGACAGCCGCGACTTAACGCATTGGCCATGCTTTCAATTGAAAGCCAGTTGATCCAGCAACTACAGGACTTCATCCCCAAAGTGATAGACACATTCTGTCAGAGGAAGGACCGCCGTGCCGCTTTTCTTTTCAAGTGAGCCTTCAGCTTTGGTAAGTTCATTTATGTCATATATTTTGTTGATCTTCTGTGTTTTTCCTCTGCTGGATCGATTGATATTGTGACCTCGATGATGAGTGTCTGTGTTTTCCTTATATTTACAGTCTATGGTGTTTTAATGCTAAAACATTACGGTTGTTGTTATTGTTAAGAATTACTTTGTGATGGTGACCTTTACTCCATGTATGAAGGTGCATTACTATGACATCCCCACGCTGTGTACGTAAATGTATGCGCTCACAGTGTTGCTCCTGTGGTCTTCAGTATGTAATTTGACACTCCCCCTCTCTCTCTCCTTCCCCCCTCTCTCTGTCCCCCCCTCTCTCTCCTCCCTCTCTCTGTCCCCCCCCCTCTCTCTCTCTCTCTCTCCCCCGACCTCTTTCTGCCCCCCCAGTTTTGTACACCTAGAAACGCCACTGGTTGTACACATGGGTGTGTTATGCCATTGCTGTGTTTATAATAGTACATGTACAATGACAGAATGAAAGATTGCATAAAGCCATATATTTCCATGAACAATATTAGCATTCGTTTTACAATTTCAGTCAAAACAAACAAACCACTCACTGCTCTATTTGCCTCAACTGTAGTCCACCATGTTCAGCTCTGTAAATATTCAATGCATTCTGCAGGGAGAACACATTCAGGCACACAGGCTCCAATCCAGGATGCTCCACCATACAGGTTACAGAGTCCTCAAGTTCCTGCATCCGTCTTGACACCTAGTGTGATAAACATATATTGAATGACATGTTAAAAATGTATTCTCTAAACAGACAACTTAGTGAAGCTATCAAAAATGTTACCTGTGGTATCTCCATGCAGCACATTCTCCGTTCAGAAGGCATCGTGGCGCAATTTGCACATGTACACCTGTAGAAAGAAGTCAATAACTGAGCTTTTAAAAACACATGAAACTGCACACATTGCTGACAACTGAGGTGTTGTTGGAGTTATACTTTTTATCACCCTAAGTTATTGAACTTTCCAACGGTTGTTGCACGATGTTGGAAGAAGGACTGTAAACTATTAAACGCAATGAGGCCATTGTATATATGCTGAAAATATGAATGTCTCCCTTTATAAATATATATATGTATTGCTGTTTTTGCGTTACAAGCTCTAAGTTATAAACTGTACACATTGCATTCTTGCTAATTAGCCAAAATATGAACGGAATAAGTAGCAAGCATCGTAACAAACAGAGTAAAATAAATAGGGACAACAGCTTGTCAACTAACCATTCAGAAACGTCCTGCTGCAACCAAGATGTTTGCACCTCCACCAAAACCTCCGCTGCTTCAGGGTCAGTCTCTGGATCAAATTGATAATATGCTTGAACACATGCATTGCTCTGAGATGACATGTTTATTCCACACTCGTAATCACAGCAAGCATGGTAACGTGACTCTCACCGGCTCATGCCCTGCTCTTCTGCAGGGGGGCGTGGTCAGCTGCTGCTCAGAATTTTCAAAGACAGGCTTGGAATAGAGCGAAAATGAGCGAAACGAGGCATGGCTAAAAAATGATCTGTTTGGTATTTTGAAAAGAAAAATGTATAAATATACCTTATATAGGTAGGGTCATACACTATATCATTTAAATATAGCATGATAGGTCTCCTTTAAATACTGTGGATATATGTGTAATGTTCCTCTCGGGCTGCATTTACAAATCAAATAGAGAAAATAAATAAAATACCTTTTGAAAATATGTGCATAATTTTAGATAAATAAAATAAAGTGTAGCAGCAGCTTGAGTTTCTCTTTTTCTTTGTTAACCGTTTCACATCATGACTTAACAGTTTCAGACGATTATAGAACAATATCAGTCTTTACACATCATAACAATTGAACAGTTTTAAAGTTTCTCTTTCTCACTTTGTTTTATTCAGTGCGAGAAATGAGCTGGAGCTTGTCCTGTCAGGAGTTTAAATCTGGGCTGAAATGGTGTTAGGGCCATTCTCATACACACATGCAGGTGCTCATTGGTTACAGTGATGCAAACACAGGTATGGTGAAAAAAGAGAGAACTATTCGAAGCAGAAAAAACCTAAAGACCTAACCTCCTCTAGGGGGGTCCGGGGGCATGCTTCCCCGGGAAGATTTTTTTTTAAATATTGAAGTTAAAAGCATCAATCTGGTACACTTTGAGAGCAACATTAAGAGATCTATGGATACATCTCTCAACACCCATATGAAACAGAACTGTGAGCATATTTTTCTTTTTGGATATTTTACAAATCACTCCCCTTTTAAACTCTATTCTTGTTATTTTTAACAACTTTTTTGTTACTGTCATATAGTATTTTATACCTGTTTTTCATTTAGTCTCATTAATAACTATAATGATCATATCAAGGTGTGCCTTAACCTCACTGAGCTGAGGTTATTTGAGCCTCTCAGGAGAGAGCTCTCTTCCACCTGGTTGTAGAAAAGCTCTTTAAATGTGTTAGCATAGCTAGCTAACCAGATGCTAATAACAACAGATCGCCACTGTGCTTACAACTAAAGACACAGCCACGCAAACACTGCGGCATGTGTACGGCTCCTTATGGGTAGGCTACTGCAATATTTTTGAAGACGGCGTTCCGACATATGCCACGTGAAGACACGTTACGCTCGTGTTGTGTTCAAGGAACCTGTCCTTGGCCAGGAAAAACAGGTACTTACTTGTTTAATTATTTTTGCGGTCTAGATTTCTTCTTCTTTTTTGAAGTGAGAAGTTGTCGGTCAGTCGGACTGATGGACTCCCCCCCCTTACATTCATAATTTCAGCGGAGGGAGGGGAAGAGCAGAGTGGCGAGGGAGAGCTGTCATCTTCCCTTTACAAGCTTCAAAAATGTATTTATCGTGTGATTTGGGAAATAAGAATTTCATATTCTGAAAGCCAAGACTTTGTTTATTTAAAATACAAATAAAACACCCGAAATAAATGTTTTTTTTTGGCTCATGATAGGCCCCCGATCTCCGTAGCTCACTGGGCTTCAGCCCAGGTCATTAGGGAGGTCTTCTACTGTCTGTCATTGCAAACGTTGTGCATCGCCCCAGTCACTCACTCAAATTCAGTTCATCTACAATAATGGGCCCCCCCACTATTGTAGATTAACTGAATTTGATGAAGGCTTATGGCAATGTATGATGTCTGTTTAATTGTATTTTTTGTATAATTAGTTGTTCTGAATTTTGCATACAAAATTTAAATTAAAAAAACGACACTGATGTTGTTTTAAAGATGTGTCGCCCCTCGGGGGCCCCCTACTGGTCTGGGGCCCCAAGCGGTTGCCTGCCTTGCCTGTCCTCAAGCGGCGGCCCTGGGCATCTACGTGTTTTGTACATATAAAAACGCCACTGGTTATGGGGAATGGAATTCAGTTGTGTGATGATAGAAAGGCAACAGTAACTCAAATAACCACTAGTTACAACCAAGGTCTGCAAAAGAGCATCTCTGAATGCACACCACGTGGAACCTTGAAGCAGATGGGCTACAGCAGCAGAATACCACACCAGGTGCCACTCCTGCCAGCTAAACTGTAATGGTGCAGGGGATATTTTTACTTTGGACCCCTTGGTATAATTTGGGAATTGTTTAAAACGGCACAGCCTTCCTGAGTATTGTTGCTGACTATGTCCATCCCTTTATGACCACATTGTACCCATTTTCTTATGGCTACTCCCAACAGGAAAACACACCATGTCACAAAATTCAAATCATCTTAATCTTTGGTTTCTTGAACATGAAAATGAGTTTGCGGGCTCAAAATGGCCTCCGCAGTCACCGGATCTCAAATAGAGCACCGTTGGGATGTAGTGGAACGAGAGATATGCATCATGGATGTACAGCAGACAAATCTGCCGCCACTGAGTGATGCTGTCATGTCAATATGGACCTAAACCTCGTACGAAGAATTAGGCAGTTCTGAAGGCAAAAGGGGTCCAGCCCTGTTAGCAAGGTATACCTAATAAAGTGGCCGATGAGCGTATATAGTGGCAAGAGAAACCCTTTGGAATTTCCTGGTTTTTATACACTATTAAAAAATATATAGCATATCTTAATTTCAAAATAAATTGAGATTGTGTATTTTATTAAGGTATTTTATAGAATATTTTACAATGAAAGATCATCTGAGAACATGGCAGTGCATTTCTACAATTACATCTACTTTAAAGTCACAACAGTTAAAATGATTAAAGAAAGATACCTACATCTCTCGATACTTTGGGAAGAAATATTTGTAAACTCAAGAAAGAAAGGTTGATTCTAACGAGGACCAACTTCTAATAGTGCCAACAACTGATCTGCCACACTACCTTTGTATGAAGACCAATTTGTCATCTACCAAGTGCTATTTCTGTATCTTCTTGTAAAAGCTACCAGATCTTTATTAACAATTTAACTGTTCAAAGCTATTCCTTTAATGTTTTGCACGGCAAGCTGATTTTGTCAGCACCACACAACTCCTCTCAAACCTAGACTATTCACCTGATTTGGCTCTAATAAGTGAACCTACTGATGTAAAATATTACACAAAATATTTACCGTACTTTGCTTGCGACAGTAGTATTTAACTTGACACAAAGTACACAGATACAAAAAAAGAGTGACACAAAAATTTATTTTATAGTGACTTTATCTCTCATCTGACTGAAGTAACTTAAATGCCTTAACAAAGTAACATTGGGTTGTGAAAATCATTTTCAATTACAGCACATTTCAAATGTATGTACACGGAAAAAATAGAAACCTGAAAAAAATGCAACCCAAGATAAAACACTAAAATGCACATGATTACCTACAGTACATGTAATATAAAATAACATTAGATTAAAATGACCAGTTTGAATAATATCTTACATATTATCAACAAAACTGACAATTATTATCCCAAAATAAATGTCAAACATACATAACCATCATGCTTAATTAATAGTGTCAGCATCAAAGAGTTTTCATTAAGATCTCCTTAGGTCACGCATTGTCTGATTCAGAACACACACTGTTTTATGTTGTAAAACAGCTTACATAATTAACATATCTTCGTCATAGATTTACAAACTGACAAAACTGGCTGTTTGGCTGTATACAAATCCCGATACATTTGTCAATGGACATGCAGGAGAAGATGCGCTGTCATAGTGACATGATTCAAGTTCTTGGTAAGTATGCAACACAAGGGAAAAAATACAAATCTATATCTAGATTTAAGTTGTGATAACAATTGGAGATACACAGTCAGATGTAAGGCATGAAAGGGAAGCGAAGATAAATGTTATGCAGTAACCATTACTGAGAGGTCCCAACATGTGTCTGTTGATGTTCCTCCAGTAGGTGAGGAAAAGCGAAAGCTTTGTCACACTCTGTGCATTCATATACAACTTGGCCCATGTGACTTTCTTGGTGCTGCTTAAGATGAGACCACTTGCTGAATGACTTGTAGCACATGTCACAGCGGAACTCTCCAACTTCTTTTTCTGCGTGTAATCTCATATGTAATGATAGATCTTGTGCTGTATTAAATGTGTTGTTGCACTGGGAACATATGAACTTGTCAGTGGCCTGCAGAGATGTGTTTTTTTGACGATGTCTTCGCTCATGCTCTCTGAGGTACCGGCTCTTGGCAAACGTTTTTCCACAAAGCTTGCATACGTAGGGATTGTCCGTTCCATGCTGTTTATTTTGATGCTCCAAAAGGGCACTCTTTGAGGAGAACTCCATTGAGCAAAGAGGGCAATTGTACAAGTCCTCTCCAAGAACATCGACATCCTCCTCCTCTCCTGCTGCTGCTTGATAAGTTTGAAGAGATGTCTTGGCAGATGGGTTTGTGCGCTTGGCCTCCATTGTTGTGGGCTGTTGATGGGAACAATGGTGCTGGCGGAAAGCATCTCTTCCCAAAAAGCTCTGGCCACACTCTGTGCATTCAATTGCAGTAGCTGAGTTGCCTACATGAAGGTGATCTTGATCTTCAAGCTTACTTCCAGACGGTAAGGTCATTTTGCATTCAAATGAACCATCAGAATGCACAGGAAAATGAAAAATCAAGTCAGTGGCACTGGCAAAACACTGATGGCAAACTGGACATATGAAACCATGTGATTGATCTCCATCGTTACCTTCACTGCTGTGTTCTATTCCTGCGGCATTGTCATGGCTCTTCAGATGGCTTAGAAAAAGCTGAGAAGAGGGAAAGCAACTGTTGCATTGATTGCATTGATATTTGCTATTAGATGGTAATTGATGGATGGCCTTGTGCTTTTTCAGGTGAGATTCATGCAGAAAATGTTTATCACAGTCCAAACAGGAGTATTGTCGCTCATTGGCTGCCATGCAACCGTGCTCTGATAGAGTCTCTGGGTCTCTGAAACGCTCACCACAAACACCACAGCGATACTTAAGTTCTTTCGTGGATACTGATGAGATCTCAGAAGGTGAAACAGATGTCTCACGTTCTTCCCTTGTAGTGGAAGATGGGTGGCAGTCAACCGACTTTGAGTGGCTTTTCCGATGCTCAACTCTACTACTTTTGGAGAGGAACACAAGATTGCATATATCGCATGGGAAGCTCTCTTCACGGTGGGTAGACATGTGTTCTGCCAACTGCAAGGGACCTGTGAAACTGAAGTCACACTTGGAACATCGATATGGCCGGCTCTTTCCATGCGTATGCTTGTGTTTACGCAGTGCAAAAAGCGAGACGAAACCCCTGCCACACGCCTGACATTGAAATTCAGACTTGTGCATTCGTTGATGCTGCTGCAACTGGGATGCCTGAAAAAAACATCTACCACATTCTGCACACTCATGTGGTTTTTCACCTAAGTGACACCGCTGATGATCCTCAAGACTTTCAGATGTTGGGAATGTCTTGCCACACACATGGCATGGGAAGTAAGGTGCAGAATCAGAGTCACTGTCCTCAATGTTATTTTCATCCTCATCACTTTCACCAGTTGTACTGACCTGACTGCTGGATGGTTCTTCAGCACGGCTCTTTTCCTGTATAGTTTTCCTAAGATCCCTCTGCTCTTTAATATGCCATTTTCTATAATGTCTATCTAGTGATTTTTTGACTGTATAGGCCTTGTTACAGAAACGACAAGTAAATGCATCATCTGGATGCTCTTCTCTGAAATGACTACATAAAGATGGTCTTGTCCAAAACCTTTGATTGCACAGTTTGCAAATGAAAGGTCTATTAGGGTCATGGCATGTTCTGTGAATTTCAAGTTTAGATACATTGCTAAACATCTTGGAGCAGACAGGACAGGATAAAGTTTCATCAGATTCATGTAACCTCATGTGTCTTATAAGATTTCCTTGACTAGCAAACACCTGTCCACACTTAATACATGCATTGCGCTTTTTCGCTTGTTCCTGCCTTCCATGGTCTTCAAGGTGACTAATGAGCAATAAGCCATCTGTGAAGCTCTGATCACATTCTGAACATTGGTACTGCACAGCTTTCTTCGTTTTACTTGAGCTGCTTTGCTCATAATCTTCCTCGGAACTTTGTGGTGATTTGTCCATAAATTCATCTTTGCAGGAGAAGTTGCTCTGCACTGACTTGGAGGTTTCTTCATAATCGAGCATGTCATTCAGCACAATATCAATCTCTGCTTTCAAAGGGACTTCCAATTGTTGGGTTTTAGTTCTCTCTGAAACGCTTCCAAATCTACATTTCCTTTTGTGATTACGGAGAAGACTTTTATTCCAGAAGCCCTTCTTGCATGTTTTACAGTTAAAAGGAATTTTACTTGTGTGAACACGCAGATGATCAGTTAGTCCAGCATTATTGGTGAAGGACATATTGCACACTGGGCAAGTAAATGGCTTGGGGACCTCAACACTAAACTGTTTGTCACAACTCTCATCCAAAGGTTCTTCTTTGATGTTGGGTATGTTTGACAGATGGTGTTGTAGGGGAGCAGAGGACACTGGTGGAACCTTTGTTTCCAGCTTGTGTTCATTTAAAAAATGCTCTTGAAGCTCTGAAAATAGCAAGAAACGGGAACTACAGTATGCACAAGAAAAGCCTTTTGTTGGGCTTTTAAATAATGTGGACTTTGATAATCTTGTTGATAAATGTCCTCTTTTTTGGGAACACTTTGCGGAATGACGTCTCACATAATCTTTCCTTATAAATCGTTCACCACAATCCTCACATGCATATGGCCGCTCTCCTGTATGCAGACGGTTGTGCACGGCCAATTGCCAGCCGCTTTTAAAAGCACGGGGGCAATAGCTACATGCATATCTGTAGTTTTTGCTGAAATATGGCTGAATTCTCTGTATAATTCTATTTCTCACCCCTTTAAGCGGGTTTGTGACATCTTCTGTTTGTGGATTCGTTTCTGAGGGTTCATTGTAGGGCCTTCTGCACTTCTTTGTCTTCCTATGTTTTTTCAGGGATCCTTCTTGAGTGAATGATGAGCCACAGCGTGTGCACTTAAATGGTTTTGGAGCATGGAACATAGTGACATGTCGGGAAAGTTTAGACTGAGATGGAAAGCTCCTGGAACAGACTTTGCACTCAAATGTCTCCTGCTTTGTATTGCGCTCTGTTTCACAGTTATTTTGCCATCCCTTGCCAACGTAATCCAAGCTGATTTTGGGAATACAGATTTCTAATCGCGTCTTTTTCCCCCTACAACGAATCTCATGTACTTTCAGATGATCATGCCTTGAAAAGCAGCTGTCACAGGCCTTACAGCGATAAGGTTTCACTTCGTTGTGTGTCAAAATATGACGTCTCAGGCTTCGTGATTTCATGAAGGACTTGGTGCAGAATTTGCACTTGAACTCAGCTTCTCCTTCAGCTTTGGGATGTTGTGCTGCTTCTCTGGGAGTAAGAGTCTTTGACAATTGAGTTGCAGCAGCATCTTTGATTTTTGACTTATCCTCTTCATCAACACCATCACAGAAAGCTTCATGCTTCAAACACATTGACTTACTTCTATAACAATGTCCACAGTGCATACATGAGTAGGGTTGTACACCAGTATGGCTAACAAGATGTCTCATGAGTATAGATCTGTACCTGAACCTCTGTGTACAGTGAGGGCATTTAAAGAAAAGTTTGTTAGTTGCATTGGATTTTGAAGACATATTGCTGACATTCTGTCTTGCCTGTGAAGTGCTTTTGCAGACGCTATCCTTGGATGATAAGCCAGTGTTGTGCTTTGGAGTTTCCATGCAGTTGTTTTGATGTTGTTTTAATTTTGTTAATCCAAAGAACTGCTCACATCCTGAGCAGAAAAGCAGAGTGTTTGTCTTGTGTCCATCGTGATGTCTTTGCAGGCGTATTTTCTTAGTAAACGTCCGAGGACAATAGGAACATTGATGTGTTCCTTTTTTCTTGTCGTCAGACTCCAATGTGATAAGGGGTCTGGTTTGATGAGCTGAACACTTTTCACGGTGAAGTTTGAGGTACGTGTCTAGATAAAACTGTTTTCCACAGTCAATGCAGGAAAAGGGTTTATCTCCAGTATGTACGCTCATGTGGCGCAGCAAATTGCGGCGATTTTTTGAATCACGCTTGCAAAATGGACACTGTTTTGACGAAGACACAGATATATGTGTAAGAGAATGTTTTCTTAGTACATGGGCATCATCAAACACATCTTTACATATGGAACACTGCCGCTGTTTTGGTCCACTCTTCTCTTTTACAGACTCCAAGGACTGCTGTGGTTTTAATGCTGGTCTATCTTCAAGCAGGCTTGTCTGGTTTTCTCTATTTTTGTGGCTCTCTAGATGCCTGAGGAGATATGCAGGATACTGGAACTGTAGATGACAGTCTGGGCATTGAAGCTTTCCCCTTTCAAGATGTGAGTTTCTGTGCTGGATCAATGCTCCAATAGTTGGGAGAATCTTTCTGCAGACAGTGCATTGTATCCTCCTCTGATGAACGTTTTTTTTATGAATGATTAGATAGGCACGTTTCTTGTATATTTTTCCACAATCCAGACAGCGGTATGGTCTTTCACCCGTGTGATTTCTCTCATGTCTTTTCAATGACTGTGGTGTGTCAAAACAACTTCCACAAAATGTACAGCTCAGGGCAAGACTTTCATTTGCTTCCGTGGATTTTAAGGTGTTGTTACGCTCTTTAGTGCCTGCACTACTTAAAGTGGCTTTTTTGGACAAGGCGGAGAAAACTGAATTCCTGTACGTGAACATTTTACCAGTGAGTTTAAATTGCTCATGTTTCTTCATATGTCTGTACTTTCCCGAACCATGGCAAAAGACTGCTGGACAATAACTGCATTTGTACCTTGGAACAGGCTTAGAGGGTGTTAGAGCTGGGGGTGCTTGCTTTTTTGATTTAATTTCCTTGGGCTGTTTTTTCAGTTTATATTGCTTTGATGGTGTTTTCTGCTTCATGTCAGTTGTCTTCTGGTTGGTCTGTTCCTTTGACTTTGCCCTCTCTTTTGCAAGTTGATTAAGACATTCTTTGAGACAAAAAGCTTTAATATGTCTAAATCGATTGCTTGGTAAAGTGAAGGTTATGTGGCACAATGGACATCGATATTTACCAGAAGTCTTTTCCTTTCCACCAGTGAGTGAAAGTTTGACACAGTCACGCAAATGTCGAGCCCTGTTGTAGGAGTACTTGAAAAGCCGTGGACAGAGAGGACATTTATATTTTCCTTTCGTGTCATTCTCCACTTTTGGGGTTTTCTCACTACTGTGTTTTGTGGTACACTGACTAGAAGAAACCTCCAGACTCTTTCCCTTGTGTGTGCTGTAGATATGCTTTTTGGCCTCGACTGCAGTTGAGAAGCATTTACCACAGAAACTACACAGATGAGTTTTGGAGATGTCAACAAGCTTTACATAACAACCAGATGGATTTGTATATGGTTTGTTCTGTACCAGGTCCTTTTGTGGTGGTATTTTTGTTTCTCTGATAACAGCATCAACATTTGCAACTGGAAGTTTTGGTCGCTTGCATCTACTAGGTATACGTTTGTGTCTTAGCAAGCAATTCGGCTGTGCAAAATACAATCCACATCCATTACACTGATAGGGTGTTTGGCCAGTGTGACTTCGCATATGCTTGACATACAGATGCATTTTTGAAAATTGCATTCGACACTTTACACATCTGTGTCCGCCGCAGCGTTTTCTTTTCTTCGGTAGGCTTGAATCAGAAGAAAGCTCAAGGCTATCTTTGATTTGACAACACACATGTGTTTCCGTTTGCTTATTCTTCATCAGGTAGAGATTACAAGTCTTGCAAAACTGGAAATTGTGCATGTCATGGTTACAATGGTGGTGTTCAATTAGATGATCCACATTGTTGGTTGTGTGTTGACAATCCGAGCATTGATAAGAGTTACTTGTCCCATTTATTGACTCTGACGTCTTTAATATTATGACAGGTTGCAGGCGTTTCCTCATTTGTAAAGAGGATTTGAGTTGCAGGGCTTCTCCTTCTGAATTTTTCACGCTGTTACTCTTAGGTCTGGACACAGAGGTGTCTTTATAGTGTCTGGCGTCAGGTTTTGTACCATCAGCATCACATGAAGAATCTTCTGTTGACAGAGGCTCCCCATACAACATGCCAAGTCCTGACTGCTCCTCTGTAGATGTGTCCACCTCTTCAAACAACTGTCTTGCACTTTCCGCAACATCCCCACTTTGACTTCCTGGTTCTAGGGACACTAGACTTTGATTTAGTGACAGTTGCTGATCTGAAGAACAGGTTGTATTTGTATTCTCTGCTGGACATTCATTTTCTAGATTAGGATTTAGGTCTGAGCAGAGTTCTATCTTGTTAGAAACACTTTGCTCTTTATTATCACTTTGATCACAACAATCTGGATCACTACCATCGGGCTGTGTATGAGTGATCATTGTTTTCTTCTCTGGTGGACTTTCCTTTTCCGGAAAACGATTTAGATCTGTGCTTGCGCTGTTTGGCTGTAAGCAGGATTCTACATGACCAGTAACACTTTTCTCTTCCTTGTCAGTAGTATCAATAAGAAAACAGACACTTGTGATACCAGGCCCATTACAATCTTGTTTTAGATCAGTGGTATTTGTCTTGTCTGTTGCACTAATCAATTCTTTTTCTAGACAGGAATTTACAGCTGTGCTTGAGCTATGTAGCTGTAAGCATGATTCTGAATGATTTGCACCACTATTCTCATCCTTGTCACTGACATTGCCTAAATGACCATCACTCATCACAGCCTTGAATATGTCCTGAGCCACATTTTGAGTGGCATCTTTACAATTGGATGCCTTGATACCTGGATGATCTGAAAATGCAGAGGTATTTAAATGAATTTCCTTCTCCTGATAGTCAATTTCCATTTTTTCAACTTGACTATTAGTTGAGTTCGGACTATCATTTTCATCACCACATGATTCCTTCATTTCCTTCCTTAGGACTTTTTCATCGGAGTGATCTTGCTCATTCTCCAATTGAGTCAAGATATTTGGAGATGTCCCCATAATCTGATCATCCTCATTGCCATTTGGGTACTTTAATCCATCCCCAGTCAAGTTTTCAAGGCCATTTTTCGAGTTCGTTGAATTGTTTTCTTGGGTAGGGTCTGTCTCCACACACTCCTTTAGTTTCTGAACTGGAGAAGTACCACAATCATTTCTCCCCGCAACAGTCTTGCTTCCTGTAGTTGTCACTATGTTAGAAGTCGACGAGGACTGTTTGTGTCCTGTTAAAGATTTGACTTTTTTTCCTGGACTTTGCTGCTTGTGTTGTGTACATTCATCAATGTTTTCTCCTACCATCACATTTGATGTACTTGGCAAAATACCATCCGTTTCTGACATATTTGGGCACAGGCTTCCAGTGGAATGCATATTTTTTCCAGTATCATTGAAAACCTTTTCTGTTGACCTGGGTTTTGTAGCAATATTACGTTCAGATTTCGGAACTGAATTCCTTGACATGAACTTACAAGAGGATCTTGTTTCACCTGCATCCGAGCAGCTACTAACATCTGAGTAGTCCTCAATTAATGATGTAGCGAGCATTCCCCAGTCTTGCTTAAGATCTTGAAAATCTGTTGCTAAAGAAGAAGGAAAAGGTCCGGATGTCGATAACCCTTCTGTGGCCAAATCTGAGATATCACTATTTGCACATTTTGGCAAGTAATCTTTTTCCATTTGTTCTAGATCAGCTTGCAATGGTGCTTCCTTACAGTATCTTTGATAAAGACAGTCTGAACTGGTATTTTCAATACAGGGACTCGAGTAAAAGTTTTTGTCGAAGTTTGAGTTTGTTGCAGGGGCTTCATTTGAATCCATTGTACCTGTGAAGTCATGATGTCCAATGAAGTTCTCTATGTCTTTAGGAAGACTTTCCTCAGATTCTGATGTATTTCTCAAAGTGCTTGTCTCCGATGTAAGAGGTGGAAAGTTATGGAAGTATGAATCCCATCCTTGAGCCATTTTACGCCAGGAATGTAAGCTAGGGCTTATTTAGCCAAAACCTGAAAAAAACAAAGTAGTATATAATTACAACAGAGAAACTAAAACTGTAGTTGTCTAAAAAACTATTGTACAATATTTGAAAAGAAAAATCTGACCTTTTCTTGGACACACAAGGTCTTAGACAATCCACAGTCATGTGGGTTGCATCCGAGTGGACATCTAAAAAAAAAGTAATTCATATTATTGTGGACAATTTTACAAGTCACAACGTTTTTTTTAAACAAATATTATCAAAATGCAATCCAATATGAACCTGCCACCAGGCAGATATGAAATGTGTCCAGGATGGAGTATGGATGTTAAGATGAGACACAGGGGAAGGTGTGGGGGACTACACAAATTCCCAATGCATGTTTACAGAGGTAACCTTATGGAATTGGAGGTTATGTTTGTTCCTGATAGTATTAACCAAGATAAAATGGTCCCTGGGAAAGGTCATTTTATTAGTGAAACAAAAGTAAGAGAAACCCTCTTCCCTGAAGGCAAGGTCTGGTTGTTGGGGGAGTGGTCAGGCTCAGCCTAAAAAAACTGCATATGGTTGTTGCAATGTAGTATCACTATCCAAAAAGAGGGGCACAAGTGAGCATGGCTGGTTGGGCTGAGGCTTAACGCTTAGAGCACAAAGACACAAAGTGATGCATAGCTACGAGAACTAACTTGAGAGGCTTTAACTGAAGGGAAGATGCTGGATGTGGTGCGTAAGTTGGTACAATGCCAAATAATATAGTTTGATACAGACCTGCTGAAAAGAGTGGTTCCTTAAAAAAATGATCATTCACTAAATAAACCAAATATTTACTTGTTGCAGCTTGTCAAAGAGGTAAGACTTGGTGACACAGCCTTGTGGAATAATCCAGTTAAGTGCAATGAGTGCACTGGCACAGTGTGCGTCTTTAGGCAGGTATGTAGGTAGGTAGACAGGCGGGTAGGCCATTCAATGATTTCATATGGGCTAAATGAAGGCTTATTACAGGCCAGCATTAGCCACTGATTCTAGACTAACTATATCAAGTGTTTGTCCTCGACAAACAACCCTTATATGTTTTAGCGCAGGGCTGACCATAGTCTGCTCGCACGCTTCTCTTCTCTTCTCTTGCTAGGGCAGACCCAGAAAATACAGGAATGCTTTTATTCCATCTGGCTTGTGAAGAAACTAGGATGCCCTAGAAGAGCTGAATGATAGATAGGGGCACCTGCAGGTACTTTGCTTAGTATGTGAATTTGGATAAGTCTCAGCCCTTTGTGGAGGACACTGGTAACTAAGTCTTGAACTTCACATCTTACCTAGGCTAACATACACTATATCAGGGGTGCCCAACCTTTTTTGAACCGAGACCTACTTTTAAAGTTGCCAGTCTGCCGAGATCTACCAGTCCAAATAGAGAGGCGTAGCCATTACTGACAGCCTGCTTTGTGCTTATCTTTCTTACAGTGCAGATGCTTTTCTGCTTGCTCCTGCCTCTGCTTACTTTTTATGCTGATTTTCCTACTCTTATTCTCTGAAAACTTCGAGCAGCGGCTCCTGGACATTAACTTATCACTGGGACAGTTCATCTTCGTAAATAGACGGAGGGTTTCAGCCATATTTCAACATTTTTACGACGACCTCAGTCTTACAGTAGTGTGTCCTAGCAACAGCTAAAGCCTGGTAGGCTACTGCATGCTATTTAGCTTAAGCTAGTTGGTAGCAAAATGCCTCCGTTCTCTACAGATAACTTCCAAAAACTTATACAGAAGATAGCTGTGTTGGAAATGAAAATGCAACGGTTGGAAGTTAACGTGGCAGTGAATGGACTATGTCGTGGGAATGACACCACTTTACCAGTGTTGCAAAATAATGGAGAAGGGTATGCTAACTCACAGCTAGTTAGCAGCTACAAGGATTCCAAGGAACAGGAGGGCTGTGTACTGGGTAATAAATCTACAAGTGGTAGTCCTCTCTGGAACTCTCTGGGTGCAAAGCCTAAGAGTAAATCATTTCCATGGGATTTGGGAGGATGGATAACAGGCAGAGCCCAGCATTCTGAAATCTGTGATGCGACCGGCTGGCCTGCATTGTTATCACCCAGGAAGAATGCCTATTCAACCCCTATTCATACTAGGAAACAGCAGTGGACAGCTGCTAAAGGGAGAATTACAAACAATCCTCCTAAACCACCAAGTGTGCCAATCCAGAACAGATATGCTCCGCTGACCGAGAACCGGAGATCCCTTTCTGATGACCTGGATAACCTGTCCTCTTCACACAGCAGGGTAAGGACCAATAGCTACTCCAAAAGTAAAAGGCTAGAGGGAAAGCTAATGACTGGGCCTGAAACTCTGATTGTGGGTGACTCTGCTGTAAGAGATGTAAAAGGTCTGTGTAATAAGAACAACACCAAAGTACTCTGTTTTCCCAAGGATGTGGTCTCTGACTTGGCTCAGAAGATCCTGCATATTGGGGCTGAACATCCGACTGTGAAGAATGTGGTACTGCACATTGGAACAAATGATGTTGTGAAACAAGAGTCAGAAGTGCTGAAAGAAAACTTTAAATGTTTGTTGGAAACTGCCAGCTCTCTAAATGCAGAGGTGTTCATCAGTGGCCCTCTACCGCCAGTCAGAAGAGGAGTGGAGAGATTCAGCAGATTGTTTGCACTGAACACCTGGCTTTCAACTGTCTGTACTGACCATTCTGTCCATTTTATTGACAATTTTAACTTTTTCTGGGATTGCAGACATCTTTTCAAGGCAAATGGAGTTTGCCTGAACAAGTCAGGAGTGAAATTGTTTATCTCTAACATATTCAACTGCCTGCGTCATCAATCTGTTCCCTCTGCCAAGGACAAGCGGCAAGAGGAATCAAAACAGGAGAAAGACACAACTCATCGCACAGAAAACCCTGAAGAATTATCACTGCATCCGCCTGAGGAATGTTCTGATTATGGGAGACCTATGAGACACATGGAGGAGTCTCCACTGCCCGTCACCCCCCCCCCCCCCCTGTCAAGGCCTTTGAGGATACTCCGTTCACCCTTTCACCCTCGCCCACCCTCCTTGAGATCGTTGAACACATGAAGGAGATACAGAGGGTTGACACCGATTCCTTCCTGGATTTCAAAGACCAGACTAAGGCGATACGCAGGGCTGGCAGCATGTCCTTTACCCCCGCTCCTCAACGACGCCCACCAAAATCACCGCACCATCTCCCCCGTCTTCATCACCCGCGCCTACGTCAACCACCTCCCCCCCCTGGCAGCATGTCCTTTACCCCCGCACCATCTCCCCCGTCTCCTGATAAGGATGTGTGTGTACAAAACGCAACAAACTCTTACTGAACTCTTACTGGGTCCAGGCTCAAGGGCGTATGGCACTCTCAACTCTTTCCAGGACATGCCGGGGCCCTGCCTGCCTATAGCTTTGCTGATATCTGTGTTGATAGGTAATAGATTAAGAGCGGTGAATCATTTTAGAAACAGGAAGCGCTCAAACGTTTGTGTGAGTTTATCTAATTTAGCATTGATTCCATGTCAGCCACAACTTGTTACAAAAAACATGACTGATAGTGTGTTTAACAAACTTAAACTAGCTTTATTAAATGTCAGGTCTTTGGCAGGAAAAACATTTTTAATCAATGATTTTATCACTGAGCACAATCTCGATTTTATGTTTTTAACAGAAACTTGGATTGAACAAAATAACAGTGCAGCTGTTCTTATCAAATCAACCCCTCTCAACTTTAGTTTTATGAGTCAGGAAATAATGAATAAGAAAGGGGGTGGAGTTGCTATTCTGTTCAATGATTCCCTTCAATGCAGGAAGACATCGTATGGAAACTTTGATTCTTTTGAATATGTGGCCCTTCAGCTGAAATGCTCCTCTCGAGCTCTGTTCCTAAATATCTATAGACCACCCAAATACTGTGCAAGCTTTTTTGATGACTTTACTGAACTGCTGTCTATAGTGTGTATTGACTTTGACCGTCTAGTCATTGTTGGTGATTTTAACATCCATGTTGACAACCCCCAGGACAGAGGGGCCAAAGAACTGTTTTGTGTTCTTGATAGCTATGGACTGACTCAGCATGTGACGGAGCCCACGCACAATAAGGGGCACACTCTGGACTTAATTATCTCAAAGGGTCTGAATATCTCTAAGGTTGTGGTGACTGATGTTGCACTCTCTGACCATTCCTGTGTTTTCTTTGAGAGCTCTATTTCTGTTCACAAAAATGTTCAAAAAGAGATAACCACAAAGCGATATTTAACTGAAAATACTAGGGAAATGTTTACTCAGAATTTTTCTTCCACACTTGCCCCTGCTAACATCTCAGTAAATGAGCTAGTAGATCATTTTAATTCAAAAATTTAAAATGTTATAGATGCCATTGCTCCAACTAAGGTAAAGGAAGTGTCTGGCAAGAAAATATCTCCATGGAGAAAGGCCATGACCGTGAAAACAGAAAAAAGAGAATGTCGAAAAGCTGAACCCAGGTGGCGAAAAACAAATCTCCAGGTTCACTTTGAAATCTATAAAGAGAGACTTGGCCTTTATAATTTGGAATTGAAAAACGCACGACAATCGTTCTTCTCTGACATCATTACCAAAAACAAAAACAACGCACGTGCCTTGTTTGCTACCGTCGACAGACTAACTAACCCCCAGTGTCAGTAGCCTCTGAATTTCTATCCACCAGGGCGTGCAATGATTTTGCCTCCTTTTTCACTGACAAAATTCAGAAAATCAGACAAGCAGTCAGTGCCTCTGCATCAAGAACAGCAAATGTGTTGTCTCTGTGTCCACCTAATATCAATTCAAACACCATGACACAATTCCATCAGATTAATGATAAAAACCTAGAGGACATTATACAACTTCTGAAATCCTCCTCCTGCTGGCTTGATATTATTCCAACAGGATTTTTCAAAGATGTTTTGCCTTGCATGGCCTCAGATCTACTTCATATAGTAAACAAATCTCTTCACTCAGGTATTTTTCCACAGGGTCTGAAAACTGCAGTCATTAAACCGCTCTTAAAAAAGAATAATCTAGATGCTTCAGTAATGAACAATTACAGGTCCATATCAAACCTCTAGGTAAAATCATTGAAAAAGTTGTTTTTCAACAGTTGAGTAATTTCTTGCATTTAAATAACTGTTTCGATGTGTTCCAGTCAGGCT